CAAAGAGAACAGGGCCTTAATTTTGAAATAGATCATAGTCAATGTTCTAAAAACCTAGTCTAGGTGGCGCTTAGGCTCGAATCTCGGGCAAAATGCCTCGCTTCGCATCTAGTCCTTTTTTTTTTCAATTCCCAAATCGTTGTATTTTTCATCTTCTCTTTCTTCTTTCATATGAGCGCTTTATTAAATTTTTCCCCCTTTTTTTTTATAGTATTTTATTTGACTTTAGCTTATTAATTTTTTTTATTTTTTTTAAAAATTTCATCTTACTTTAATTTCAAGTTTTAAAAAGATTTTATCTGTACAAAAGTTAAAAATAACTTTATCTAAATAGTTAAATTTGATTTAAGCTATGATTCTATCTATATTATGTAATTATGATATTGAGATTCGTTACTTTGTTGCAAACTCCAAAAGCATGTATGTCCTATAAATTTATTAATTAGGTTTTGTCTAGTTAAAAATTAAAACTATGAAAAATATTTTAATTTTTGCATTTCGAAAAATTGAAAATCGTATAATTGGCTAACGGTAGAAATTATTAAGAAATATAGTATTTTATAATTTTAGATATTTGAAAGTCGAATTTTACATAGAGATTGTGTCTCTGGAGGTGGTGTAATAGTTTGGTGAAATAAATTTATTTTGAAGTCTCCTTAAAAAAAGAGGGAAATCAAAGGTAGGAGTCCAGTACCTTTCTAGTTTTTGCTGGTATCGTACTTTTTTGCAATATGCTTTTGAGTTTGCAGGAGGGGAGTAATTGGGTAAACTATGTTTGCTTCTTCCATTTACAAGTAAGATCTCTATTTCTGATTTCTTGAAACTTTCTTCCTCTCTGTCTTTCATGGTAGGTTTCAATGATTCAATGAATTTTAGTTCCTGTTTTAGTGTTTAATGGGTCGTGTCAATATTATTCAAAATGTCTTTGTCCAGAGTTAGATGAAGATGAAAAGCCAGCAAATACTGGTGGTTACCGTGCTGTTGTCCTCTCTTATAGAAACACTGATGATTATGCTGACCAAAGGAATGATGATGCTGGGTTGGAGCTGTCTAGATTTTCCCCTTCCTTCCCTGTTCCTGGAAGCCTTTCTCAAACCTTGGTAAATTTGGGCTTTTCGGCCCAAGGATTTTTGTGTATTTCCAAATGTCCTTGATCTTTTTTCTTTCTTGCTAACCGGATTTCCCCAGGATGGACAACTAACAATTGTCGAAGGTGCATATGTTATCTAAGAGTCACTGTGTCTAAGTTTTCAGTGTAAGAACTTTAATCGAGCATGTGGGCTTAGACGTGAAATATTGTGTAGTAAATTAAAAAATATCAATTTTGGTTAACCCCGTTTAAAGTTATCTAATAATGTTTCACTATTTTGGATTTTGAAGCATACAATTATAGTGTGAGCCTTTATGTGTAGAGACAAGGCATGTTCCTAATTTTACGATGGCCCAAATTAGGTTAATAAGCCGTTAATATATATATATACGGTTATGGCCTCCAGATCACATGTGAATTGTTCATTCTGTTCTGACTCCCATCATCTGAGAGAAATAAAGAACTACGTGTTGATTTGGAAGACTAAAATCGCACGATTCATCCATTGGATAATAATGTCTGATTCAAGTACGCTTCCGCTTCAGTTCACAAATTCTTGATGATCCAACATGAATTATCAATATTACGGTAAAGTATTTTCCCAACAAGCAGTATTAGAGCCAATTCATGTTGAATCATTGAGAATTGAAATTTTAATTTCGTTATTGTGATAATTTCATTATTTTTGAATTTAACAATCCGGATTTAGTTTTTGTTAAATTTGAAAATTTTTTCGGCATGTCTTTCCGAATTTCAGATTTTCAGTTAATGTTTTTTTAAAAAAAATTTGGGTGGCGCCGCCGCTTGACATCATCGCGCGGACGCTGCATAATGGAAGCAACAACCGGTAGAGATTTCAAGATGGTGGCATGCCCGGTAGTGAACCGGACTGTGATTCGGCCCATAAACCGTGTGGGCAGAATCACGGTCTGCCCATACCCTGAACCGGTCCGGTCCAGTTCAGGGTATACCGGGCCAGCAGTTAACCGCTGGCCCAGTTAAAAAAAATAAAAAATTAAAAAATTAAAATTTGCGCCTGCAGGCTGTAGCTGCAGCCTGCTGTCAGAACGGTCATACAATCGTTCTATTTTTTTTAAATTTTTTTTAACGGTAATATTTTTTTTGTTATAAATTGT